ACACTGCGTTACAATAGGGTGGGAGAAACATTTGAAAAAAATCTCCGCTGCGCGGGCTGGCTGGTGGGTCTTTATTGCTGAATAGGTTGCACTACAGACAGCACGACCCCTGTTTCTCCTCACTCCACAGGGCCTGGGAAAAAAAAATTCTCCGCTGCGCGGGCTGTTGGGTCTTGATTTCTGAATAGTTTCTCCCGGGCCAGGCAGCCTCCACCACCCCATGTTTCTCCTCACTTGACAGGGCCTGGGAAAAAAAAATTCTCCGCTGCGCGGGCTGTTGGGTCTTCATTTCTGAATAGTTTCTCCCGGGCCAGGCAGCCTCCACCACCCCATGTTTCTCCTCACTCCACAGGGCCTGAGAAAAAGATTCTCCGCTGCGCGGGCTGTTGGGTCTTCATTTCTGAATAGTTTCTCCCGGGCCAGGCAGCCTCTACCACCCCATGTTTCTCCTCACTTTACAGGGCCTGGGGAAAAAATTTTCTCCGCTGCGCGGGCTGTTGGGTCTTGATTTCTGAATAGTTTCTCCCGGGCCAGGCAGCCTCCACCACCCCATGTTTCTCCTCACTCCACAGGGCCTGGGGAAAAAAACTTCTCCGCTGCACGGGCTGTTGGGTCTTCATTTCTGAATAGTTTCTCCCGGGCCAGGCAGCCTCCACCACCCCATGTTTCCTCACTCCACAGGGCCTGGGAAAAAAAATTCTCCGCTGCGCGGGCTGTTGGGTCTTGATTTCTGAATAGTTTCTCCCGGGCCAGGCAGCCTCCACCACCCCATGTTTCTCCTCACTTGACAGGACCTGGGAAAAAAAAATTCTCCGCTGCGCGGGCTGTTGGGTCTTATTTCTGAATAGTTTCTCCCGGGCCAGGCAGCCTCCACCACCCCATGTTTCTCCTCACTCCACAGGGCCTGAGAAAAAAAATTCTCCGCTGCGCGGGCTGTTGGGTCTTCATTTCTGAATAGTTTCTCCCGGGCCAGGCAGCCTCCACCACCCCATGTTTCTCCTCACTCCACAGGGCCTGGGGAAAAAATTCTCCGCTGCACGGGCTGTTGGGTCTTCATTTCTGAATAGTTTCTCCCGGGCCAGGCAGCCTCCACCACCCCATGTTTCTCCTCACTCCACAGGGCCTGGGAAAAAGAAATTCTCCGCTGCACGGTCTTCATTTCTGAATAGTTTCTCCCGGGCCAGGCAGCCTCTACCACCCCATGTTTCTCCTCACTCCACAGGGCATGGGGAAAAAATTTCTCCGCTGCACGGGCTGTTGGGTCTTCATTTCTGAATAGTTTCTCCCGGGCCAGGCAGCCTCCACCACCCCATGTTTCTCCTCACTCCACAGGGCCTGGGAAAGAAAAATCTCCGCTGCACGGGCTGTTGGGCCTTCATTTCTGAATAGTTTCTCTCCCGGGCCAGGCAGCCACCACCACCCCATGTTTCTCCTCGCTCCACAGGGCCTGGAATAAATTTCTCCGCTGCGCGGGCTGGTGGGTCTTTCTTTCTGAAGAGTTTGTCCGACACCACAGCCGTATACCCTGCTCCCCCTCTTTTTTTACTCTTGTATACTGTGAATCATTGAAGGGGCAGCCAATCATGAGTTGCCTGAAAGACACAAACTGACTTCCTCGTACAGTCACTGCAAGGTCGTTGCGGCCAGCTTCTGCAGACATGCCAGAGCGTGGTGGCTCAGGCCAGCAGGCTTCTTGATGATGATGCTGCTGTGCTGTTCTGCTGAGAGTGTTGTGGTGCCTGAAGTGTCTCGGTTGTCTGTGTCATCTGCCGCAACATTCAGGCTGATGCTGCTGCACAGACAGATATGTTCATAAAGGACTATAATTGGTAGGTCGTTCTTTGTCTTCTTGCAGCTTACCAACTGACCAACTGGACATGCAGGAAGATATCCTATCTGGAGGAATACACTACTTGACCAACTTTATTGTCATTGTTTAGCAACTGATTCCAGCCAGCCATGGCGTCCGATTTTTCAGCTTGGCTTACAGGTGGGCAGGAAGTTCTCCGCCAGCAGCGTGCGTTCGATCCATGGGCAGTCAAACCAGGCCGATGGTTGAAAAGACCCACTGAACAACACAGGGCTGCTGAGGTTAGTGGTTGAGGTTCAGCTTGACCTAATAGTTCTAGATTCTAGATGTTGCTTCAGGGCCACTTGCTGCCTTTCCAGGCACTTTCAAGTTCGAAGAGGCCGATTCAGATGAAGACAGTGATACGAACAATTTGTCCGAGGAGCAGAAGAAGAAGCTACAGCCCAAGCTCCCGAACCGTGTGCTACTATCATGTTTTTCTGCCACCTACAGTTCCCGGCTTGGTGGGAACCGTGGCCAGGTGCAATGGGATGTTTTTGCGTTGCAGCTATGGACTATGTTTATGAGTCTTAAAATAAAAAAATGGGTGCTCATGTATTTAGGCCCTTGCTTGCATAGAGTTTGAGGAAAAAAGACTCATTACTATAGGTATGGACATTGCTCTTGCTCGGGAGGTTGCCTGGTAGATAAGTTCTCTGACAGAAGAGATTTCATGCTCACTGTTCACCAAGGAGGCACTGAACAAGAAAGCGGCCGAGTTGAAACGTGAGCAAGAGGCTGCAGATAGGGAGCGCGAGCTCTTGGCAAAACAGGCTGCAGAGGCAGCAGCCTTGGAAGCCCTGAACCGCAAACGTGAGGAGGATGCAGCTGCGGCTGAGCGCAGGAAGCTCGAAGCAGAGGAGGCCGAGAGGCAGAAACAGATCCGTGAAGAGGAAGAGCTCAAGGCCCTTCGAAGTCGTGTGGACATCGACTTCGACCTCGCGTTCCACATCTCTGACAGCAATGTGCTCCCAGCACTGCAAACAAGCCAGAATGATGGTGCACGACTGTGGCTGCTTGGTTTCAAGGCTCATGGACGGGGCCCGAAGAGTCTTCCGAGAGGCAACTTGTCGAAAAGTACATACTGTGATGAGACCAGAATCTTAACTCCACCTGGAAACTATTCACCCACCTGACCTGTAAATGCTCGACTTTCAGCTCCTTCCCTTGGAAGGCACTGCAATGCCCCAGTTCCAGAAGGCTCCGTGGCTGAATTCCATGACCAGCCGCGACCTCCTTGTGCTGAATTTGGGCCACGACCCGACTTCACTGTCCCTCATCCAAGAGGCTGGGCTGGGTCCGGGTTACTGGGTTACTAGGTTGCCGGGTCAGTTAGTTGGTTACCTGGGACCTGGTTTAGGGTTTAGAAGTAGGATTTGGGTCCAATTAGGGTTTAGGGCTTAGGGTTTAGGGTTTAGGGTTTCGGTTTTAGTCGGCTTTAGGGTTTACCTTAGGGTTAAGGGTGTAACTTAGGGTTTAGGGTTCCGGGTTTAAGGGTTTAGGGTTTAAAGGGTTACGTTTGTTCAAGCATCCAACGTGCCACTTGTTGGCATATGACAGCAGGGCACATGCGCTAAAGCGCCTGCTGGGGATGCGATGCCGGCTGCCGTGCACGAGTGTGGCTGTGTGCCAGCACTCTGTGCCACCAGAGCAGCTGGCGGGTGCCATTGGTCACACTCAGGGGAGGTCACTTGCCATGTTCTTGATGTTGTGTGCTGTGCCTTGGTGTTTGGTACACCCCCGGTCTGACACCCGCCCCCCCGGCCCCCACCTTCCGACCCCCCGTCTCTGTCGGTGCCTCTGCGTGCTGCGTGCTCCGTCCTACCCAGCACGGTGCCTCCAGCCCTGTCCAAAGACCACAGACATTTGTCTGTTGGGCTACAGCACCCGGGCACAGGGTATCCTGTCCAACCGGGATCCCTTGTGACCCGGGGATTGCGGGTCGGTTTTGGCCCATGTTCAGTGCTGTTGGCCGGGCACTGGGACTGGCGCTGCTGGGTGTGTCCCGTGGCAGGTGTGTCCTGCAGCAGCGCCGTGGTGGGGGAGGCCTTTGTCGTTCACTGCTGCTTGCTGGGGATGTGCTCTGCTCTTGTTCTCTTTGGCCCGTCGTGGTTGTGGTGGTGGGTTGCCCCGCACTAGCACTGCCACGATGCTCTGCTCTTAGTCTCTTTGGCCCGAGTTCTGATCGTTTGTCCGAGCAAAAACGACCAGTCCTTGTAGCCGATTGTAGGCTTAGTAGCCTTAGCCTCAGGGTTTAAGGGTTAAGGATTAAGGGTTAAGGGTTAAGGGTTAGGGGGTTAGGGGTTTCGGGTTTAGGGATTAGGGATTAAGGATTTAGGGTTAGGGTTAAGGGTTTACCCAGGCGGGGTTTAGGGTCTAACCTTAGGGTTTAGGGTATTCATATTATATTAGGGGTGTATTTGTATTAGAGGCTAGAGGGAATCAGGAAATCGGGAGGGAAAGGGGTTATTAGCACATTTGGGAGTGAATCCGGAAGCGGCCTTGAAACAGGCCATTCAGAAGGAGTGCGTCAACAAGATTGCGCTGATATGGCAACCCTACATCAGCTGTGTGGTTCAGCACGCGAATGGCTCACCAAGCAGCAGCAGCAGGGGCAGCACGAGTTCTACATCCCTAGGGTCCATGTATGTGGAATTCCTGTGCTTTGCCCGAGGACAGTCAGCCACCGATTGCGGCTGGCTGCCAGCTGACTCTTGGCCAGAAAAGAATAAAAGATCATACCTTGCTGAAACAGTAAGGGCCCAAACCCTGACCCCAGCCCTGAGAACTGGAAGCAGGAAACCTGACAGCCTGCCTAAACCTAATAGGTTAAAAAAGCTGAAGCCTAAAGGGCCACACGACACCTAAATCAGGCTCGCAGTATTGGCCTCAATGTATAAACTGTCCGACAAACTCGCAGTCTAAAGCCAAAGGTGTCCAAAGCTGAAACCTGTGAGCATAAAACTACCCTTCCCCCAGCCCCAGGCCCACACCCCCTATCGAGCAAACCATGTGATCTTGCTCTTCTCTTCCATGTGTCTGAGTCTGAGGTCATCAATGTGGCGAACGGGTACCCTGATCCCTTCGTCCGACTTGTGGTCCGAAACCGACAGACAAGCAGAACTGCCCGATCATGGCACACATGGAAGGCATGGTGATAGGCACTCTCAAGGAAAGCCCCCTGAAGAAGGCCAAGTCTGAGGTCAGCCCTGATAATGATGGTGAGGGCGAGGGCCCGGCCAGAAAAGAGACCGAAGACGACGACCAAGACAATGAGGACGAGATCCCCGCTGAAGAGGAGGAGGACAATGACATGCCCGAGGCCTGCAGCAGTCATAAACAGTTTGCAAACACACAGCATGCAGCATGTGACATGCAGCTGTTCCAACAGAAACTGACAGAAACACTGCACTTGTGAGTGAGTCTGAGGCCGGAGGTACCCAGAAGCACTTGCGGAACACGTGGCAGAACGGTATTGCGCCCGATTTCATGATACAGCTATTGAGCATCCTGCCCAACTACATTGAGCTTGTCATCGTTCTCTTCCCACTTCCGTTTGCCACTGGACTCCTCAAAGGGATCTTGGAGTTCAACCGCATGTTCGGCAAAGTCATGCCGTCCGAAGTGCAATGCCTTATCAAGATGCCGAACAAGCCCATGCCCAATCCTGATGAAGATACAAAAGTGCTCTATGTCGGCAACAGGCACAACTTTGCTCTCAGCATCGATGTGGTCAAGAATGACATGATCGAGTTCGCAAAGAAGGCAGTCACTGACACCCGACCCTCTGCAACAGGGAAGAAGAATGCCTTGCGTCCGAACAAGGCCACAGCTGACAGTGACAACCAAGCCGAGCTTAAGGCTGAGGGTCCTGACGATGTCAGCGACAGTGAGGGCGGGGATGTAGGGCCTGGCACCTCCAGCAACGACAAGGGCGGGAACTTCATCGGCTGTATTGAGGTGGACGACCTTCTTGACCGAACGGACCTTGCCGAAAACTCCCAGGCCGACAGTGATGAGGAGTCGCCCGAGTACCACTCCGAGAGCAAGGTTCGTTCAGTGACATGGTCTTTGAAGCATGTCAACAGTTTGAAAATTTGAGCTTCTGTGGGCTGTGCTTGAGAGTCCGTGTGTCTGATCTGATCTAAGGTGATCTCACGCCGGAGCTTCCTTGCGATGACGAAATTCGGTGTCCGAGTTGCAACGACGCCAAGCACGACGGCATCGATGGTAGTGGGCGTGGGGCTCATCACGAACAAGCAGTTGAAGAAGGACACGACGATACCATGCAAAGGGCCACTCATCTGACTTTCAGGGTCCATGTCGTGCTTGCTGTTCAATTCAATTCGTTTGTGTGCTCAGAGCCTTGAACAATAAGGGCATGGTTCGAGTCCCTCACAACGGCCACCGTCTTTGCGTCCGACTGTGATGCCACGCAGCGCATCGCCCGAGTCCCCCTCGCCGTCAACGACGACGCAAAGTCCGAGAAGTACCTGTATTGCGTGCTGACTGGGATTGTCGGCTTCGTCAATCACTTCCACAATCTCGCACCAGTCCCCAACGCCAAGATGCCCTCACACACCCTGTCGCCCTGTCGAACAGAGCACTGGTGACACTCTCAGCACCAGTACCCCTGCAGGCACTGGTGGCGTTTGGCCCACAGCGAAAAGTACGAAACACAGATCTGGTTGGAGCCTGGGCTCCGTCGCTTTCGGATGCTGGACTGGAGAGCCCTGTGGCGCCTCATCCATACAGACAAACTTTGGTGTGGCCCGAAAACAGCCGAGGTCCGAGCCTTTGTTTTTGCCTTCCACACCCTTGGGAGTATTGTCAGCTCTTCCTGCTTGTGTGAGTCAGCAGGCAGCCTGCTGAAGCACTTTGCGCGCGGCAATGCAGATACTATGCGGGTTGTGGAAAGGGCACTTTTGAAGTTCGCTGGTATTGCTGGAGACGGCACTGATGGTTTAATTCTTTTGAGGGCCTGGCTCGAGACAGTGCCTTCGCCCGAGAAGCTTGTCTTCATGGGCCGGAACATGAAGGCTACAATAAGAAGGTGGCACAGTTTCCTTTGGGTGAAGGCAGCAAGACACTCCACAACATGAGGAAGGCTGCTGGAAGCAAGAGCGAAAGGAGTGCCCGATGGTCAGCCAGTCGTTTGCGCAGGATTCCGCGGGTGGCTGTGAAAGTCTTGGCCACAAGGCTAAGAGCATCTCTGCATCGCTGGGCCCGAACTGCAAGCCAGAAGGGCAGTCCGAACTTTTCCAGCCTGAAGAGTAGTCCAAACTTTGTGGTGCCTCGAACTCGAGTTCGCAAGAGCAAGGAAAAGTCCGCCGGAAAAGTGTGGGCTACGTCAGACACTTAACCCCAAACTTCATGCCTGAAACCCAGAACCTTAAAACCTTAAAGGTAGGCCTCGAAAGCTGGGGGGCTGGTTACGGCTGGTTGGGGTTTAGGTTTAGGGTTTAGGGTTATTAGGGTTTAGGGTTGCGGTTTAGGGTTTAGGGTTTTAGGGTTACAGGGTGACAGGGTTTAGGGTTTAGTTTAGGGTTTAGTAAACGCCAGAACCCTAAACCCGTCTTAAAAACATCGATTCTTTCCGACCAGCCTCACCCTGTCAGCCAGGTGATCGACCGCATCATGGGCTTTCTTTTCGCAGCTGCAGATGGCAGCGGACGGCAGAGAGCAGAGGGCCGGTTTTGCAAGCCAGAAGGGTAGTCCGAACTTTTCAAGCCAGCAGAGTAGTCTGAAGGTCCGAACTGTGCACCTCCAACTCGAGTTCACAAGAGCAAGGAAAAGTGTGGGCTACTCCTGAAGCCCTATGATATGATATGCCCCTTAAACCTAAGTCCGACATACCCTCCTGAGTCTCTGAGCCCCTAGCGCCTTTCAGATTCTGAGGTGAAGTTCTCGTTTTCGTCGGTTCAGAGGTTTTTAAGTCAAGTTCATGGGAGGTCAGAGAGGGTCAGAGGAGGTCACTGAGGTGAGGGGGTCCGGGGAGGTCCACCACCAAGGGGCCCAGGGGGCCCCACCTCAAGTGGGGGGAGGGGGTTGGGTAAGCTCTCTCTGGAGATCAGACAGCCAGAGAGGAGGTCACTAAGGTGAGGGGGTCCGAGGAGGTCCACCACCAAGGTTGGGTAAGCTACCTCTAAAATGCCGAATCATCTGACATGACATGCGGATTTTGCTTAGCCCTAACCCTTGGGGGGTCCCTTTCAAAAGAAGAAAGCCAGGGATGGGTTTTAGGGGCTTTAGGGGTTTTAGGCGTTCTAGGGAGTTTAGGGGGTTTTAGGGGCTTTTGGGGGCTTTAGGGGGTTTTAGGGTTTAGGGCAGACACACCCGGGGAATTCAAGCCCGTGCCCTGTTTAGTGTTCGGGTTAGCAGGATCTGCATGCAGCCCGAAATCCTAAGCCCTTAAACCCTAAACCCCAAACCCGAAACCCTAAACCCTGAACCCTAAACCCTAACCCCTCAACCCCTCAACCCCTCAACCCCTCAACCCCTCAACCCCTCAACCCCTCAACCCCTCAACCCCTCAACCCCTCAACCCCTAAACCCCTAAACCCCTAAACCCCTAAACCCCTAAACCCTAAAACCCCTCAACCCCTAAACCCCTAAACCCCTAAACCCTAAACCTTAATTCCAAACCCCAGGAGCTGCTGGAGTTCTCCCCCCGGTGGATGTTATTCCAAGCTGCCGATGCTTGCGGACAAGTCGCAGCATCGACATTTGCGGCTCTGTCTTGGCAAACAAAAAGTTTCGAACTCCTTTGGGGAAATTTGGGGTCACATACCCTCTGCTACTATAGTAGTTTCTACTAAGGTCTATGTGCCCAAAACCCAAAACCCTAAACCCTAAACGCTAAACCCTAAACCCGAAACCCGAAACCCGAAACCCTAAACCCTAAACCCTCAGAGAGCTAGCAAGTTGGAGCAAGTTGGAGCAAGCGTTTTCGATTGAAATCAGAGCTGTTTGAGTTCAAACCCTCGACCCAAACAAGCCCCAAAACCCCCGACACACCCAAGCCCCGAGGCCCTTAGCCCTGCACCTCGCTTGGGCGCAACCGCCAACCCTCAGCCCCGAGCTCTGACACCCTAAACCCTAAACCCTAAACCCTAAACCCTAAACCCTAAACCCTAAACCCTAAACCCTAAACCCTAAACCCTAAACCCTAAACCCTAAACCATCACGGCTTGGCGTCCGAGCCTACCTGCTCGATTTGCGGAGCCCCTAAGTGGCGCGCCACATGCGGGCGGCTCTGTACTTTGCTGCTGCCGTGGGTGGCACCTGGCAGGCCCACTCTGGGGGGGGTGTGGGGGGGAGGGGGGGCGGGTGAGGGGGGGGGGGGGGGGGTGGGGGGGGGGGGGGGGAAGTTTTTGGTTGCTCTAAACCCTAAACCCTAAACCCTAAACCTCTAAAGCCGAAAACCTAAACCCTAAATCCTAAACCGTAAACCCTAAACCCTAAACCCTAAACCCTAAACCCTAAACCCTAAACCCTAAACCCTAAACCCTAAACCCTCGGGCATATGGGCTCGTAGGCTTTTGGGGCTCACAGGTTCCACATCGGGGTTTCGGCTTTAGGGTTTGGGGTTTGGGGTTTAGGGTTACAAAAATAGGTGACCCCTAGGATAGACCCCAAGTAGCAGGATCCCCTTTAAAAAAAGGACCCCAAGAAGGCACCCCCTAATGTCGTAAACCCCCATTTAGGGTTTAGGGTTTAGGGCTTAGGGCTTAGGGCTTAGGGCTTACGGCTTAGGGCTTAGGGCTTAGGGCTTACGGCTTAGGGCTAACCCGAAAACCCTAGTTTTAGGGTCGGGGGTTTGGGGTTTAAGGCTTACTGGATTTAGGTTGGGCGGGTTGATGTGGTCCTTTGCTTGTTTGTTTTGGTTTCCGTCCTTTCTGCGCTGTTCTTTGATTTTGCAAGGGGTGTCGGGTTTAAGGTACTTTTTGGGGGTAGTTTTCCTAAATCGTAAGCCCTAAGCCCTAAACCCTAAACCCTAGACCCTAAACCCCTATGGTGTTGCTTTTTGGTTTACGGATGTACCAGCAGGGCTGAGGGCTGAATTCGGGGAATGTTAGGGTGCTAGTTCAGGGTCAGGGGTGCTGGGGTTCTCGAAGCCTTTCGCTGCTTAACTTCAAACCCTGTAAACCCTGACCCTCAACCCTCAACCCTAATCCTAAACCCGAAACCCTTAACCCTGAACCCTAAACTCTAAACCCTAAACCCTGAACACTATGGTGTTTTTCAAAAGGGAAGTCTGCGAACCTGAGGCCAGAGGAGTTCCGGCCGAGGATGTGGCGCCTGCGCGGGTAGGCCGGGAGGTTCCCCGTGTGTCGGGGAGGGTTTAGGGTTGAGGGTTTAGGGTTTAGAGTTTGGAGTTTAGGGTTGAGTAGCCTAAACCCTAAGCCCTCCAAACCCTCCAAACCCTCCAAACCCTCCAAACCCTCCAAACCCTCCAAACCCCAAACCCTCCAAACCCTCCAAACCCTCCAAACCCTCCAAACCCTCCAAACCCTCCAAACCCTCCAAACCCTCCAAACCCTCCAAACCCTCCAAACCCTCCAAACCCCCCAAACCCCCCAAACCCTCCAACTTGAATCGCCAGGGCGGCTGGGAAATCTCTCGGCACGGAGAGCTCAAGAGGCTGGCTTTGGGGCGTTGGGTTTCGGGTCCAGGGTTTGGGGCTGAAAGCAGCGTTCAGGGTTCAGGGTTTAGGGGGTTTCGGGTTTAGGGTTAGGGAAGGCGTGGCGGCAGAAAATGGCGGGGCCAATTACCTACCATCGTGGTGTGGCTGAAGACCAATGTATGATGCTCAGGGATTGAGGGTTTAGGGTTTACGGTTTCGGGTTTAGGGTTTAGGGCGGGGGTTTTGAGGATTGGGGGCTGATGTGGTTGCGGAGCTGAGGGTTGAGCTCCCAGAAAAGAGGTGCCTAGGGATTTCTGGTTGAGGGGTTAGGGATTGGTTCAGGTCTTAGGGTTTAGGATTCAGGGTTTAGGGCTTAGGGTATAGGATTCATTAGGGTTGAGGGTTTAGGGTTTGACAAAAACCTTGGCGAAGCAAGCGCTCAGGGTGCTGTTTAACTCCTAAACCTCCAAGGGTCCCCCACAGAGGGTTGAAACCCCCACCGATCCGACAAGATGCTGTAGGGTTCAGGGTTGTTTAGAGCTTAGTCCCTTCTGACAATCCCCATGACCCTAAGGAACCCTAAACCCTAAACCCTAAACCCTAAACCCTCAACCCTCAACCCTAAACCCTAAACCCTAAACCCTAAACCCTAAACCCTACACCCTAAACCCTATAGATCGGCCAAGAACGGGCAGTTTTTTTCAGACAATAAACCCTAAACCCTAAACCCTACACTCTACACCCTAAACCCTATGGATCCCCTCAGCCTTAAGCCTGAACTCGCTGGGAAGACTGCCTCAAAGAGGATGTCAGGACGGCGGGTAGCATGCTTGCCGCCAAACAGTGCTGCTATCTCGCGGAGTTCGCTTGCCCTCAACCCCTAAACCTTAAACCCTATACACCCTAGCGCCCTAAACCCTATGTACCCTAAGCCTTCCCCAAGCTTGTTTCGCCCAGGCCTGCACTTCTGGCTTTTGTTTCGGCAGTCGCGTCGGTCGGTTTTAGAAAGTTTAGGGGTTTAGGTTTAGGGTTGAGGGTTTAGAAACACTCAAACTTTAGGAGTTTCCTGGATCCTCCAAACTGCCGACAAAAGGCCCTCTTTAGCAGGTACGGAAGTTCGTTAGCGAGTACTTGGTGGCTTCAGCGTAAAACTTGGGATTTAGAATTTCATATTCAGACCTGTACCCTAAACCAAAAACCCAAAACCATAAGCCTGAAACCATGAACCTGCAACCCCAAACCCCAAACCCTAAAGCCTAAACCTTAGGGTCCTTGAGTGCACCCCGCCAGGAGGATCCTCCGACGGGGGCGAACTTGAATGTGCCTCGCCTGGTCCGGGGTGGTTAACCCCACGCCCCAAAACCCCAAAGCCCAAAGTCCCCCAAGCCCTGAAACGGTTTAGGGTTTAGGGTTTAGGGTTTAGGGTTTAGGGTTTAGGGTATAGGGTCTAGGGTTTAGGGTTTAGGGTTTAGGGTTTCGGGTTTAGGGTTTAGGGCTAATTCACCCTAAATGCCTACAACCCTAAACCCTGAAACCCTGAAACCCTGAAACCCTGAAACCCTGAAACCCTGAAGCCAAAAATTTGGCTTAGGGCAGGACATTCTGGGACTAACCCTAAAGCCCTAAACCCCCCAACCCCAAACCCTACACC